AAAGAAATCACTGTGTGGAAAGAAAATTCTGTGAATATAAATATATAAGAAAGAAGTACACATCAGTATGAACTGTGACTAAAGACAAAGTACTCTCACTCTGCAGCAGTGCACAGTGGCAGCAAAACCATCTATAGATACAACAATCTATCCTCAGAGTGAGTTCCATAATAATTGCTAAGCAATTTAAAAATCTTTTTATAATCAGATAAAACTTTAATGAAAAATTTGCCACTGAAAATATAAAGTACAACAAACCAAAACAAATTCTCTCCATTTAAACACTAACTTGTGCTTTGTAAGCACCAATTAATGTTTAATACCTTTAAAGTCAATGAATAATGACACTTTTCAAAAATTTTAGTTTGTAGAAATGTGTAGCATTAGCTCTGAAGTATTGCCTTCTGCTGTTTAAACCCAGAAGGACTCAATTCATCTATTATCTAGAAGGAGTAAGAATGGCAAGATAATAAACCTAAGGATTTATAACCTGACAAACTGTAAATATGTTCAGAAGACTGTGTTCAGGAAAAAGCTTCAGATTTTTCCCAAAGATCTCTAACAGTTTATAATAATTGCTTCTAATTTAATGGCTGGAGTGCTTGCTTCGGCAGCACATATACTAATTTAATGGCTGGGTTTGAAATGTCAATGTTACCCTCCCAAAAATATACACAATCAACCACATTTGCTTATAAAAATTTCTTACCTTTTCAATGTCTTTGGATCAGAAATAAGGGAACCCCTATAAATTTTCATTGAAACTCACCCTTGGTTGCTGGCACCTAAGAATTCCCCTTTCTTCCCAGCTCTGTTTTATATCTTTCTTAGGATATCTTACTCATGTTTTCTATGCAGTTATAGAGAACAAAAGATATATAATTTGTTCAGTCCACTACAATGCCAGAATAAAAAGTCTTTACAAAGAATTTCAAAAACTGTCCTCACAGTCTAATATTATTAATACAAAAGGGTGAATTAATGGGGCGCCTGGGTGGCTCAGTTGTTAAGCGTCTGCCTTCGGCTCAGGTCATGATCCCAGAGTCCTGGGATCAAGCCCCGTATTGGGCTCCCCACTCAACGGGAGGCCTGCTTCTCCCTCTCCCCCTGCTCATATTCCCTCTCTCATTGTCTCTCTCTCTGTCTTATAAATAAATAAATAAAATCTTTAAAAAAAAAGGGGGGGTGAATTAATACTGTTCAGCCTAATCAGTGTATTCTTGTAACTCATCCTTTCTAGTCATAAATTCCATTTTCTCTTTTAAGAATATCACAACCTAGGGGCGCCTGGGTGGCTCAGATGGTTGGGTGTCTGCCTTCAGCTCAGGTCGTGGTCCCAGGGTCCTGGGATCGAGCCCCACATCGGGCTCCTGGCTCAGCGGGGGGCCTGCTTCTCCCTCTCCCTCTGCCTCTCCCCCTGCTCATGCTGTCTATCTCTCTATCTCTGTGTCTCAAATGAATAAATAAAATCTTTAAAAAAAATTAAAAAAAGAATATCACAACCTCCTTTTGCTTTTGCACTGTGCCTTTCACTGGAAAAACAGGAATTTCTGTCACAGGGTAAATTTTTACAATTTTTCTACTATGCTAGTGTACAGCAGGTAGAAGGCTACTATAAAGTGCTCTCAGAGTTTGGAGAGAAAACAGATCAATACAACAGATGAATATGGTTATCTGCAGAAGAACAGTACAACAGAAACAGCACAAGAACAAAGCTTAAAAACACTTGGGTTTTAATCCCAATTTCCTGCTGAGCAAGTGACCTCAAATAAGCTATTTAACCTCTCTCACCCTCAATCTCTTAATTCTTTATAAGAAAATACCACTACCCATCTTAGGGTTATTTTAAGATAATTCAGTAGGCACTCAATTAAATAATAGCTATTATTATCTTAAAGAATATTTAAATGTTTTCTGATAAAAAACAGAGAAACCTACTAATTCAACCATTATCCCTAGGAGGCTAGACTAAATTTACAGAAAGCTATGATCCAATTCAATCCGGTTTATTATCCTGTCTATAACAAGGTAATGGTACTTCTGGAAGCACTAAAATGGGAACTGAATATTACTTAATTATTGGTTTTAGTTATTAAATAGTTTATGTAGTATATATTTAATCCTAGAGCATTTAAATTCCATTTCTATATTTGGAGAATTGCCCTCTAGATGAGTCTTAGTGAGAAGCCAAGGCTACCTTCCACTAAAGCAAACGTGCCCAACATCACTTTACAGGTCTCCCTTGTAGGCTCTGCCAGTCAGATGCACCCCATGCTCTTCCCTTTTCTCCCACTGGACCTGATTCAGGGGTTAATGCAAAGAAATGAAGGCTTTAAGGAACTAATTCTGGTTAGAGTGACAGCAGCAGCAATCTTCCAAAGTCAGAAGCCAAACAAATACATTCTTTGGTTCTGTTACAACCTGGATAAAAGTCTCTCTTAAGACCACTGAATCCCCTTTACTCTGAACCTATGCTCTCCAAACAATATATTTTATATTTTATATTCTATATATCTTAATATCATGAAGGGCATTAACAAGTGCTCTATCCACGGAAAAAGGAATAATCTAAACATAAATGAATATACCGGGTTTCTAATGTTTTTCATGAGTATATCATGAGTGTGGTACATGTGTCAGAACTCTACAGCCTGATCCTCTGTGAAAAATGACAAATCAAGTGCCAGAACACCTCAAATAGGAACCAGATTCCGAACCCATGGCACGAGTAAAATATAATTACTTGTGATATTTTCTGTGACAGATCATTCATTTCATACACATAGACTTCCAACACAAACTACTAAATAGCCGACAGTGCTCTACACAAGTCAGTAGGTGTCTAATGCTTTCAGTGGCACTGTGCACAAGTGACAATTTGCCCCCCTCCCATAAAATAAAGATGCCATACTTTCAAGGTCTGAAGAGAGAAAGAAATGAAGAGTGTCTGAGAGGAGAGGAAGTTGATTTTCTAAGTTCAGAAGATTTACTTTTTTCCCCCAGGAGAGCTTGCAAAGCCAGTTTTTACATACATAAGTTTCTACCATATTAGACATTATTCCATTTAAAACACAAAACACTCAACATTTAGAACACTGGTAAATTTAATTTTAACCAGAAATCCCTTCTACCTGAATTACACAATTTCTCAACTAAGCCTCCACCAACATGCTGCCCAGTCACACTTAAAAATGGGAATAAGAATACAGATATTTGTTTTTCCTATTAAAAAGCAAATGTCAAATGTACATTTCATACCTTTATTAAAATTAGTTTCTAATTACTACTCCTGAGGTTTTGTTTCAGGTACAAAGTATGTTTAAATCAGAAAACTGGAATGATTATGTTGCAAAGAGAATTTCTCCAAAGGAATAAAACTTTTCTCGCTGATATTTCAATATAATCACATACCAAAAATATTAACCTAAGCATATTAATGCCCAATAGATATTAAGTCAAAGCACAATACTGGAACAGATTAGAAATATATCTGATCCAATTTTTTTTTTTTTAAGATTTTATTTATTTATTTGAGAGAGACAACGAGAGAGGGAACACAAGCAGGGGGAGTGGGAGAGGGAGCAGCTGGCCTCCCGCGGAGCAGGGAGCCCGACGCGGGGCTCGATCCCAGGACCCTGGGATCATGACCTGAGCTGAAGGCAGACGCTTAATGACTGAGCCACTCAGGCGCCCCAATATATCTGATCCAATTTTTTACCTACTCTCAATTTTTAATTTATAGACCCAGCATTCAAATCTTATGTGTTTGTACTCACTGTCCTTTCAAAAGTTGTATCAAAATTCAATACACAAACCACCCAAAACACCAACTTTGGTAGGGTCCGTTCTTTTTTTTTAAGATTTTATTTATTTATTTATTTGACAGAGAGAGAGACAGCACAAGCAGGGGGAGAGGGAGAGGGAGAAGCAGGCCTCCCGTCGAGCAGGGAGCCTAATACGGGGCTCGATCCCAGGACCCTGGGATCATGACCTGAGCCGAAGGCAGACGCTTAACAACTGAGCCACCCAGGCACCCCAGTAGGGTCAGTTCTTAAAATCAACTAAGAACTTACTTTACAATTCTGTCTGCATCTGGAATAGTAACAATACAAATATTCTTTAGAATTCTTATCCACACATTACCAAAAATATTTCAGAAATTTGAAAGTTACCACACAAATGATTGTTCTTTCTTCATCACTTCTTCCCTAATGTATCTCAGAAAACTAATTTTAAAAATACCATTTATGGGGCACCTGGGTGGCTCAATCAGTTAAGGGTCTGCCTTAGGCCCAAGTCATGATCGCAGGGGCCTGGGATCAAGCCCTGGGCTCCCTGCTCAGCAGGGAGCCTGCTTCTCCCTCTCACTCTACCACCCGCCCAACCCCCCTGCTTGTGCTCTCTGGCTCTCTCTTTCTCTGTCAAATATTTAAATAAAATCTTTTTAAAAATTAAAATACTATTTATATTCACAAAGACCTAAAATTGCTCACTTTCCATAATAACCCACACCCAAAAGTAAATTCCCAGTCCTAAAAATGGAGCTACTTTGAACAAGTCAATGGCATGGAGACTAGGTGGTGGGATGACTATAGGCCTTTTTGGATCCTGATTCAAACAAACTACCTATAAAATGGCATTTTTTAGATATCAGGGGAAATGTGGACTGGATAATCAGATATAAAATTTCTCTTACTTTGAGGAGTCTGATAATAGTATTATTATGATTAGCTAATATTAGGTCCTTATATTTTTAAAGGAGACATATGTAAATTTAAGTTTAGAAGCGACATGACAATGCCAGAATTTAAAATACCAGACAAAAGAAGGAGCAATTATGTCAAAATGTTGATAACTTTAAATCAAGGGAGGAGTCATTATATTACCCTCTCTATTTTTATGTATGTCTATTATTTAACATAATAATGTTATTTATGTTTAAAATTGTTTATAGAAAGAAAGTGGGGGAAAAAGGAACAAAAGAATAAACCAACCAGTTACCTTTTCCCAGTCAACTCAACTTGGCCTTTTTTATTGAAGAAGAACTTGGAATCATTATATCCCCATCCATTCCATTTCATAACTTCTTGCCTAGTAATAATAAAAAAATATGTTAGACCTATGCTAAAATCTCGTAACTGAAGAGTATATCATTGATATTAACTTTTACAATCATTTAAAAGACCTTATCCCATTAATATTACATTAGTTTAAATAATATATTAAAATGTCTACATATTAATCTTTTTAAATACAGAATCACTCTGATGAGCAGCACCTGCTTCACAAAGGGCAACAACTAAATTTAATGCATTCAAAGAAAAAAAAGGAACGAGAGAAAAATATAGAGTATGCATCAATTTGTATATGTTACTAGTTTACATTATAGGATGGCCTAAAAAATTTTGCAATTAAAATAAAACTTGAGTAAGATGCAAATTTTTGCATATATTAGAAAAATCACAATTATTCATCTGCTATGATGAAAAAGACCAATTTACAGAGTAAGTTCTCTAGTAATGACACTCCTAGTAGCAGACACTTAATAAAATAGATAAAAAATCTGAGAGCTGGGTTTACAAACATTCTAAATCCTCCAACTTCCATGTAACTACCAATTTCTATCTTGACCTACATATTAACAAAACAGTTAATGACTATACCAGTTTTTAGTATTCCAAAACAATATGGTATTTTGAATTTCTAAAATGCTAATATTTCATGGTCTTAGAAATCACTTTCATTAGAATCAGGGACTCAATGGGATGCCTGGGTGGCTCAGTAGGTTAAACATTTGCCTTCAGCTCAGGTCATGATCCCAGGGTCCTGGGACTGAATCCCACATCGGGCTCCCTGCTCAGCGGGGGGCCTGCTTCTCCCTCTGACAGCGGCTCCCCCAGCTTGTGCTCTCTCTCTGTCTTGCTCTGACAAATAAGTAAACAAAATCTTAAAAAAAAAAAAAAGACTCTTTAATTTTGAATATTACATAAGAATAGATAGGTCTAGGCCTGTGTAGAACACAATAAGCAACCACACTGAAGTATTCTACCAACATTTATTACATGTTTTAGCATGGTCCCCTAGTATATCTGGGCAACAAATTTTATTGCAAATTCCATTATGCAATCTATGATGAAAATACTTGAGGAAAACTTCTTCTCTATACAGAAACTCATTTGCTGCATAAAAATTTCAAAATATATCACAAGAAAAAAATCTGTAAATATTTGTGGTGATGGATGTTAACTAGACTTATTGTGGTGATCTTTTCACAATATATACAAATCTTGAATCATTATATTGTACACCTAAAATTAATTACATGTCAAGTATATCTCAATTTTTAAAAATGTCAAAATAAACAAAGATGCACTCCTTAGAAAGCATTCTAATTCTCCGTAATTCCCAAGGAAGAACAATATGTCAACTGACAAGCAAATTTTTTACTACAATCATAATTCTTCATCCAAATCAAAGACTTTTCAAACAAGTAGAACACTAACACAGCACAACTGAACCAAGTATAGGTTGTTAACTGGTCACTACCTATACATAAAACTGAAAAAAAGAAACTAGGCATGCTCTCTTTAAAACTAGTTTGCTATCAATAAAAACTCTAGTCCTTAAACAAAAACAAACTGTTCAAAAATATCTCAAGAGTATCAATCCAGAGATTGGATTTGTAAATGAGCCTGTTATGAACTCTCACCCAACGTTTTCTTCTGATTTCACATTCCTACCTCATTGTAGAGGGAGATTCTGGAAGAGAGCTTTTGGAAAAATCTCTACAGAAAAACCTCATGGCTAATGTCACCACTGACTTCCCATTTTCTTAAGATTACATTTTCTAAAAACCAATTAACTTATCATCTGCTTCACTTTTTTCATAATTAATTCTCTTCACTTTTATGAAGTATAATTTACTTAATATTTTGTATTTCCATAATAATTTACATGAGGATGATACATACATTTTAATTAACATTTTACTTAATGTTTTATAATATGGCATAAATTATTTGTGAAATGCATTTTATTAGTGGATTTAAACATTTGTCATGAAGTCTGTACTCTATAAAACAAAGTTTGGTGTCACACAAAATAAATGCAAAAATACCAACATAGTCATTTTGCTTTGGTATTACAATCACTAGGCACTGGGAAATTATTTCAGTACAGATGTTGAATTTGGTATGTTTACATAGCTTAACAATGAGAATCATTTTCCTTAATATGTTTAGAATTTAAAAAAAAATTATTCCCATATGGCCTCAAAGTAAAAAGTGAAACCTGATTACATGTGTTCACTCTTAGCACTGCACAAGAAAAATAAATCAAGGGAAGCGGGAAATATCTGCTGCTGTGCACTCAAAAATGAAGAAATTTAGGGTGCCTGGGTGGCTCAGTTGGTTAAGCGACTGCCTTCGGCTCAGGTCATGATCCCAGGGTCCTGGGATCGAGTCCCACATTGGGCTCCCTGCTCGGCGGGAGGCCTGCTTCTCCCTCTCCCACTCCCCCTGCTTGTGTTCCTGCTCTCGCTGTCTCTGTCTCTGTCAAATAAATAAATAAAATCCTTAAAAAAAAAAAAAAATGAAGAAATTTACATTCTGAAGAATCACTAGCCTTAAATTTTCAGTTGGGTAACAGTCTAAAGAATTCCCAAGTTTTCAACTATAGGCTAAAGGTACTTTTTCTCTCTTTTCATCTCAACTAGAAAATTCTGCCTATGATATTTAAACCATTACTGTTTATATACCATTACCATATTTATACCAACTTATGGAGCCTTCCCAGAAGTTGAAATGTAGACATTTGTAATCCATTTGTGCCCTGCCAACAGTATTATGTTGCTGAAAATAGTATATATTTAAAATCTAGGTTACCCCAAAATCAATCTTCTGATATCTTCAAGTACCCCACATATTATATAAAAAGTAGGCAAATTTCCTAGGTTTCTAGTATTAAACTTTGTACTAAGGTATAACCCTCAAATTACTAATATATTTCCTGACACTTAAACACAACTATGTGATTAAGCTTCCAAAATAACTTCTTATACAGAAGAATATAATGAGTACCCTGAAGGGCATTATAGCATTAACATTTTAAAAGTTAATAATAAAACTTTACAGTCATAGAATTCTAAAGCTAAAAAGATCCTTAGAAATCACCCAGTTCAACTGCTCATTTTTCAGATGAAGAAACTTATGCCCAGAGAAGCACTCATGATTACACAGCTAAGCTAGTTGTGAGCATCAGAAAGTGAACCCCCAGTCTTGGGAGAGGTAATATCCAAAACCCACTAAGTCATGCCCTCAAGTAATCAAAATGATTTAAAAGAACCCTTCTTTCATCACAGCAATATTTTTCAAAGCACTATTCCATTTATTATTAAAGTCCTTCTTCTGCACTTGACATTTAAAAATCAAGGACTATGGTTGTGTCGGTAGGGCCAATGCCCTTACTTTCTTTATCTACAGTATAATGAATGCCGGCATTCAGAATAATTATCCCAAAGCATGGCAAGCACTAAAATGAAGAATGATCAAAGAATCATCAACATTCCATAAGATTCAAATAAAATGATTCAATTTTCTACTAACCCCAGAGATCAATTAACCAGACTGATCCCTCAGACTTTCCAATTCTTAGAGCTAACTACACCAAATTTAATGTCTTCAAAATACAAGACCCCTCCTCCTGCCAAGAAAAAAGAAAACTGGATTGATTTTACTACATGAAAAGTGAAAAAAATAAAACAAATGTTTTACACATTTACTTATCTAACCATAGTATCAAATGGTAAAGAAGCACTTTGTATTAGCTGGCGTAACAAAAGAAAACGGAGACATAACATAGCATCATGTATACACAAGGTGGCAGTATTCTCCCATGATATACATATTCAGTACTCTGCATTTTTCCCCGAGCTGTTGTTTGCACAATCTTTAACTGAAATATTTAGATCTAACATTATTATTATGAAACCCAGAGACCCTTTCTTAAAAATGGGAGATACTCACTTTTAAGTCTCTGCATATACATAGACTACTCCTCCTCTAAAAATAATAATAAATTGCAAGCATCCTGATATGAATGCACAGTTTCTACCATTACTATTTCAATCATATTTTTTCATTAGAAAATATGGAAAAGGAAAATATGCTTTAACCTGATTTTATTTTGGCTTAGCAATAAAAAATTCAACTAAGTGATAACAAAAATTCTTTTCCAATATAATTCCAATAATCAAAATTCTAATAAAAGATACTCCACTACTTAGTTCAGATGAAAACCAAATTTTTATCTATCTTTTCCAGTTTAAACAATAAGAAAAAGATATTATGATCTCAGAGATTTTAGAAAATAAAAACTGAAGTACAAAACTTAAGCCTCAATGCTAGATTTTTTTTTTTTTTTAAGATTTATTTATTTGAGAGCGAGCGAGCTCAAGTGCACATGTGGGGGGAGGGGCAGAGGGCAGGGGGTTGAGAGAATCTCCAGCAGACTCCCCACCCAGCATGGAGTCTACTGCAGGGCTTGATCTCACAACCCTGAGATCATGATGTGAGCCAAAACCAAGTTCAATGCTGGATTCTAACTAACCAGGCTCAGTATCAGATAAATTCAAATTAATCCCATATGTAATACAATATATATAAATAAAAAATCCTTATTATCAGGTTGTGTGCTTAATTACCTCAAGACCCAGAAAACCTAAAGGAAATCATGAAAGTGAAGTAAAAAAGTGTTGAGAAAGATACCAAGATTTTATCAATAAAACAAATATATCCCTAAAAAGATCTGCTACAAAAAAATTCCTATAATTGAAATAATAATCCTACTAACTTCTTTTATTAAAAAAAAAAAATTGAAGCTGAGTTACCATGAGAAATATAAGGGGCTAATGAGGGGAGAAAACTATAGAATACTAATTCTAAACTTAATTTAAAATGTATACATTTTAAAATAAATTTAATATCATATCTAGTCTACAGGTCCTACAAAATTTTTTTTTTTTTAAGATTTTATTTATTCTGTCAGAGAGAGAGAGTGCAGGCGCGAGCACAAGCAGGTGGAGTGGCAGGCAG